GAATGGATCGGTTCCAAATGTAGATATCTGTTCCGAATGCAGTACACGTCATGTACACATCCAAACTGTCAGTTTTGAAAAGTGTTTCACACTTGTTGATTTTCATCAATAGAATTGTACATTCCAAGGCTGCAATCACAAACACACACGATGAGAAGTAAAGCCCCAAAACAGGAAGGTAAGAGAAATCTTTAATATTTATCAATATGAACTTTCATAAATCAACATCTTCAAACCACTTCTTTAGATACACAAATGAAGTTGATATTAATGCAACAGGAACATTAACAGTTAATATGTTTTTTGGAATCAGGGTGTAACAGGATACAGGAAGATGCAAATTACTGGTATCTCAGAAAAGTTTCTGACTTCAAGAAAGGCAGATGTATTGCTTTTGAATTTCAGCAATAACAGACCAGAAGCTTGACAGTCCTGTGTCATCTTATACAACTCTTTGAGTGTGTATGGCTGGGATCATAGTCACATCACTGTCTCTTTTTATGCTGTAGCATAAAAATTCCTTGGTGGTGTAATGGGTGAAGACCTTGTGCCAGCTAAACTGCTGACCCGAAGGTCAGCATTTCAAATCCACGAGACAGGGTGAGCTCCCATTTGTCAGCTCCAGCTTCCCATGTGGGGACATGAGAAAAGCCTCCCACAGGATGGTAAAACATCTGGGCATTCCCTGGGCAACATCCTTGCAAATGGCCAATTTTCTCACACCAGAAGTGATTGGAGTTTCTCAAGTCACTTCTGACACGAAAAAAAAATATGCTGTAGCAGGCTAACTTGGCTTGTTGTTTGGTGACTTCAAGTCATTTCCAATTTATGGTAATATCACAGGGTTTTCTGGGGTGGCTGAGTGGGGAATTTAGCCCTGGTTTCCAGAGCTGTAGTCCAGCACTCAGACCACTAGACCTCGATGGCTGTTTCAGGAAAATTGGATTCAAGAAGTACTCAGACATTTTGCTGCCTCAAAGTGTGTCATATTCAAGGCCAGACAAATTATTCTGGCAAAAGAAGCAGCAAATCCCACAAACACCATTCTTCATCCATGACAGTAAAAAAAAAAAATGCAGTAAGAGTATGACGATTTGCTATCACTTCATGACAACTGATTGGCAGTTGTCTTGAAGTGGCTTTCCCACCTTGTAGCTATTCTCTCAAATTTTGTGCCTTCCAGATACGCTGCCCAATAGCCATATTGGGTGCAAGTGATGGGAGTTGCTGTCCAACTTGGGACATCAACAGGTTGGAGATCCCTGCAGAAAAGACCTAATTACATGGGAAATCAAGATACTTTGTCTAAATAATGGCAACTTTGCAACCATACTCATTTGTACCACCTCTTTCCTTCATGTTGCCAATTAATCACCATTCAATACAGTTTTGACTTGGTTCCTATTGGTCATCCCAATTAGAGTAGACCCACTAAATCAGTTATTGAATAGCGAGTCAACACATAGGTATAACCGCTGGATTTAATGAGGCTCCCTTAGTTAGAGCTAGCTGTGAAATTTAGGTCTTTGTGTCCCAATTATGCTTCTCTCCTTTTCTTTTCCAGAAAAGTAGCTATAGACAGCAAAGAGGAAGAGGGACCTGTTTCCATTTGTTCTATTCACTTCTCACAAAAGGCCTCGTTTTATTTAATTGCTTTTAAAGTTCTTTTTATTTAATTGGTTGTATGAATTTATATTCAGCGGCCTCTGAAGAAAAAAAGACAGAACAGATGATATATTTTAGAAATGCTATTTTTTTTCTCAAAAAGAAAGAAAACCCATTAAATCAGAAAGTAGGAAAGCCTCATTAAATCTTTGCCAACTCTCCTTGCTCTCTGTTTTGAGTGACATAACAACGTGAAGTATCTCAGGTCAGAAATGAGCTGAAGGAATGCAGGGAGCAGCTGGTAAAATGTTAGTGGTGTTCTCATCACATCTTTCTTTGAGGTGGAAGATCTGTATTATGCTACACCAAACACCATTGTGGTATTAACAAGGCTTTCAGCATCAATACAGTACTAGAAACTGGTTCCAACTGTTGTCTTCTTTGTTTGACACAGTATGGGGAATCAAACTGCAACTACTAAAAACAAATGTAACAAGGTAGGTGTGTATGAGGGACAGTAAATAGACTTGATAGAAAGCCAAGAAAAATGGAAAGGGTTTTGCTCTAAGAAGTCATTTTGCTGATATGTGCATTTAGAAAAAGTTAAAATAGTTCTACATGGGTTCTCCAATGGTGGAGCATGGAACCCTCTGAAAAAATGAATTTAAATAATCTTTTTAAAAAGTCTCCAAAATTATTCTGAGGATAGGTAAGTTGTTGAATTAGACACAATAGCATTTCCCAATTATAATACAACATATCTGAACTGATAAATATCAGAGCACTCATTTACTCAACATTTAGACTTGTGAAGCCCCTGGTGATGCAGCAATTACTGAAAGGTCGGCAGTTCAAATCCGGGGAGCGGGGTGAGCTTCCGCTGTTAGCCCCAGCTTCTGCCAACCTGGCAGTTTGAAAACATGCAAATGTGAGTAGATCAATAGGTACCGCTTCAGCAGGTATTCCATGAAGTCATGCAGGCCACATGACATAGAAGGTATCTACGAACGACGCTGGCTCTTCAGCTTAGAAATGGAGTTGAGCACACACACCCCAGAGTTGGACACAGACTTAATGTCAAGGGGAAACCCTTACCTTTACTTTTAGACATGGTCCTTCACTTTCTGTGCCCAGAGGTGACTTAATCTAAATAGGTAAGGTACAGTTTATTAACACTGGGCTCTGTTAAGGTTAAACAGCAGACTTCTCCCAAGACATGAAACATGAAAGTGCCCATTTAGGAGCAAGCATGCTATCGGATCTGGATAGCTCACTTTGTGATTGGTGAACAGACCTATGCAGTTAGGGATTGCAAGTATTTTGCAAACAACCTCACTCCATGAGATTCCCACAGTCCACCGATTTGTTTTAATCTGAGCCTCCTTCTACACTGCCCCATATCCCAGGATTATCCATTTATTCCCAATTATATGGCAGTGGAGACTCATATAATCCAGATCAACTATTAGATCCTAGGATATAGGGCAGTGAGCTTCTTTACTTTGGGTGTGGTTGACTTCAGGGACAGCTGGTTGATCTGTGAACTGCAAATTGAATGTTTAGTTTACCACATTTTCCTTCATAATTGCTCTGAGGTGAACAGGAGCTTTGCTGGTGCAGGACTTTAGGTTAACTGAGTATCTATATTATTGGACCCACTAGTTACTTATGGGTGACCCTCTAGATCAGTCATTCTCAACCTGCGGGTCCCCAAATGTTTTGGCCTACAACTTTCAGAAATCCCAGCCAGTTTGCCAGCTGTGAGGATTTCTGGGAGTTGAAGGCCAAAACAGCTGGGGACCCACAGGTTGAGAACCACTGTTCTAGATATTGGTGAACTACAACTCCCATCATTCCTCATCACTGACCATTCTTGCTGGATCCAGCAGCCAAATATTGGGAGGATCACATGCTGCCCAGACCTACTCTACTTAGTTAAATACAAGAGAGAACTTTTATGTGATACACTTTCCCTGGCACACAATTTGGCTTTGAAAAGCTGACAGGTATCTGGGACTTGACACTGTCTCAGTCTAGCTTTCTCTGGCAGACAAACCCTGTATTTAGCCTCACCTTGCCTGAAGCGGTTGTTTTTAATATCCCAGTGTCAAGCGTGTCTCACTCTGTTGTCCTAAAAAAATGCACTAGGGAAATCTGAATGGACAGCCAGCTCGTTGCACTAACCCTCCAGTCAGAGTCTGTCAGATTGTTCTTGGCTTGCTGGGTGTTGTCATGCTTGAAGTGGTGATCTTCCTTTAGTGGTACCTCACTGTGACTCTTAGGTTCCTGTTCTCCACCCAGTAGCTACTAGATCCGAAGCTTCCTCACTAATCATGCTACCGAAACTTGGAACAGGTAAGTATTTTAGACTCCAACTCTCAAGATCTTCCAGCCATCATTGACCAATGCTGGCTGGAGGATGCTAGAAATTGAAATTCAACAAAGTGACTTTTCCAGGCCCTGACTCTGATCCAGCTAGCCCTGTTGTAGTTCACGGATATATAACCTGAGGCACAAAAATAGGACTCGAAAAAAGAAGACCGTTTTTGTAAAAAGATTTTTATTGGAAAAAGGGGGAAATTGTAAAAAGCAGGGGAAGGGCTTACCCAGCACCCGAAAAGGATGGAAAAGCCACAGCATCCCAGCAAGAATATAGACAAGGAGGAATGAGGACATAGTGATTGAAAAAGAAACAATGCTCATTTAACTCTGGGAAGGTTCTTTCTTGGGTGCTGAAGGAGATGTGAGACATGGCTTATTGGCAAAAGTCCAAGTAAACATGGAGATCTGAGCCACAAACACACACAGACACACTTCTCCACATGGAGAGTCTGCTGATGAAGCAGCTTGCATCGAAGAATGCTGGCGAAGGAGAAAAATGCATTTGCAAACACACACACACACACACACACATTATGGGAAGGCAGTACAGATTTACGGTGCAATCCTATGAGTGTCTACTCAGAAGGAAGCCTGGCTGAGTTCAGTGGCACTTACTTCCAAGTGAGAGAACATGGGATTTCAACCTAGGTCCCTTGTAAGTCTATGAAGGGCAGAAACAACACCAAAGAAGTCAACACCCTGTTCCCTTATTTAGGAGGGCAAAGTGGGGATCCTCACCCACTGTTTTCATCACAACTCTTACCCATTTTATTACATTCCTCCAAATTAGCCAGTTTTCCTTAGCTGTTTTGATTGAGAGCTTTTCTTAGGGCAACAGGGAATTGCCTGGAGATGTACCAGAAGGCCATCTGACTCTGACAAGGGATTCCTAAGGTGAATAGTGCAAGCCACAACTCAGCCCAACCTACCCCCATCTCAAAACATATCAGACTGAATACTGGAAATGAACCAGAGCAAAGAACACTAGGATGCAAATGCATGGGTTGGGGGGGGGGGGGTGGCAGATTCAGAGAGAGTGGAGAAGGCAAAGGGAAGGCCAATAGCACCTTCATCAAAAGAGGGTGGGGTTGCTTCTCTACAAAACTAGTGATTAGAAATGGTATCTCAGTTAAGGGCAAAGTTGTGGAGGCAGAAGAATAGTGGGATTTGGCAGAACATTGCCGAGCTGGGAGGCGCCACGCTGCAGCTCCAAGTGGTGTGTGTCCAAGTGGGTTCAAGCACCATGCCCTGAAGATGGCGGGGCTGTATCCATCCTTCTAGTCCTTCCCCTTTCCTTTTCTGGCTGTTTAAAACATGAAAGATAGAAAAGTATTAGGGTAACACATAATACAGTTCACTTGATTTGGCTCTGTGTTAGTCTGGCATTCTATGGCTTTCTCAAAGTTGATAGCTCCTTGTCAACTACCATGCATTCTGGCTGCATTACAGTTTAGAAGTAACACATTAAAATTAATGATGGCTCCTTTGGTGCAATGGGTTAAACTCTTGTGCTGGCAGGACTGCTGACCAAAAGGTCGGTGGTTCGAATCTGGGGAGCGGGGTGAGCTCCCATCTATCAGCTCCAACTTTCATGTGGGGGACCATGAGAGAAGCCACCCACAGAATGGTAAAACATCCGGGCAACATCCTTGCAGACAGCCAATTCTCTCACACCAGAAGCAACTTGCAGTTTCTCAAGTCACTCCTGACATGAAAATAAAATAATGAAATAAAATAAAAAAAATAAAAGATGGCTACTTGTTATACCTCAGAGCTACATGGATAAGTTTATTACTTTTAAATGTTTTTATAAAGACAAACAAAGCATTATCATTTTTGTTAAGTAAGCTTTGCATATTATAGCAAGATCTTGACAATTGTGGAAGTAGAACCCCACCTACTCATCTGATGGCTCCCCATTTTAAAAGAAAATGATGATTGTTGACCTAGCTGCTAAGTAAAATGGACAAAGTGAACAGGTGTGATTCAAGCTTCTGACAAACTTTACTGGACTGCAACTCCTTCTACTTTGCAGTGTTTGAATAAAGATATTCGCTGGCATTCCAGCATCTCCCTCCACACTGACTTACCAGGCGACAGCAGCAGCTGTAAGTGCTGGAGATCAGTTTCATTGGTCAGAATGCAGCAGATTGATGTTGCCAACTCTCTCCTGCAAGCAATCTCCAGTGCAACAATCAGAAGCAGGATCCCTGTTACAATCACTCCATGTACTGGAGCATTCATGGGATGGAGGTGGAAAAATCAATCTGCTGCTCCCTGATTGACTGGAGAACACACTCCTATTGCTCACAACAACTGCTGTCCATTACATCAGAACTTGGGAACTTTTGTAATTTTGATATACTCCCAGCAATACTGATTTTGAAGGGATTATCAGAATGAATCAGTCATGTATCCTTAATTCTAGGTTACACATCTGCAACTGCAAATGTGCAACCTAGAACTACCAGGCTAGTATATTGTGAGTAATAATGGGAGAAGTAGTGTATTAACATATGGAAGGGTAAAGCCCCCCCCCCTTTCCCTATATTTATTTATTTATTTATTTATTTATTCATTCATTCAAACTTATATGCCACCACTCCCCTGGGGCTTGGAGCGGCTTACAAGAACAGGCTAAAATCAAACACAAATTAAAAACAATTTAAAACAATTGTTTTAAACTATTATTGTTTGGAGAATACTCTGATGACTGGAATTTTAAATAACCATTCCCAACACTGAGGGCCCTTCCAGACAGTCCCTATATCCTAGGATCTGATCCCAGGTTTTCTGTTTATTCGAAATTATCTGGCAGTGCCAGTTTAAAGCAGAAAATCCAGTTTAAAGCAGAAAACCTGGGATCAAATCCTTGGATATAGGCCCTGTCTGGGATCAAATCCTGGGATATAGACCCAGTCTTAATCAAGTCAAGAATTATTTGGAGTCTTCCCCCATAGCCTGAACTTAGAAAATTTCTGGGTTTTTGTGTGTGTGTGCGTGTGCAACCAGCATTGCCAAACTGATCACATTTGTGCAAAAAGAATCAATTCCCCTTATTAGACAGTCCTACATATTAAATGTGACAGAAAACTCAGAAGTTTTAGGTTTTATTTGAAAGAAACAAATAGGCATTTATTTGGCTAGGAGTCAGAATGTGTGTTACGAGGATCAATCATGTGCAAATAATTACTCGCTTGAGTGATCTTGCAGAGTAAGCTCTGTCATGGCAAAGTCAGAGAATTACACAGTATTATGACTTCTCTTCTGTGAATTGGAATAAACCTGTGATTCTTCCAGTTCATATAAGATGAGCTACAATATCACAGGTGTTCTTGGCTCCAGTACCACACCGTACTCCTGTGAGTCTTAACAAATGTTGTAGTCTATGGTCACAGTTTTGCTAGAATTATCAAAACAAAGGGCAAGATTTAAAAAGGGTCAAAAATGTTCTCAGGCAAAAAAATTCTGAAAAAAGTACAAATACAGCCAACAACAAACTCAATACAGCAGAGTCCCACTTATCCAACCTTTGCTCATCCAACATTATGTATTATCCAATGCAGTCTGCCTCCCATATGGATCCATAGCTGTTTCAATACATTGCTACTACATAATATTACTGTGTATTGAACTGCTTTTTCTGTCAATTTGTTGTAAAACATGTCTTGGTGCATAATTTGTAAAATCATAACATAATTTGATGTTTTTCCTTAATCCCTCCTTACTATCCAACATTTTTGCTTATCTAACATTCTACTGGCCCATTTATGTTAGATAAGCGAGACTCTGCTGTACATCACAATTTTTTCCATCCCTACCGTTTGTGTCCCTGTACGTGTGTAGTTACATTTTTCACCAAGATGAATGGAAGTTAAAACCCCTATAGCAAATAAACTGCTTATAGTTGCTCGGACTGACCTTTGGATTTTGACTTGGTCTTAGGAGAGCAAGGCTTAGTCACTTGAATAGTTTCCTGACACTCAGCATTGTACAGAGCCTTCTTCAGAGTGCCTGAACGGGCCTTTAGACCAGTTGCAGAATCGCAGCCACCCCAGCTTTCAAACTTGTACTTGCAATCCGCTAGGAGAGAGATTAAGAACCATTAGATCAGTTTAATGCTTGCAACAAATGCTCATCCTATGTGTGGTACACTTGAGGGTCTATATTCCCTGTACTTCTACTAAATCTTGAATCAGACCTATGTAGTCTGACATGGATCCTCTATAGCTCTGGATATTTTGATGTGGGAAAAATGTAAACCCAATTCTGTTTTCAGATCTCAAAGAAGATCAGTGAGTAGTTCAGCCAGGATTTGCAGGCAAGATTTCTGACTCCCAGTAATTAAATACTAGGTCCCCAATGCTAAATTATACTGCTGAAATATGAAAATCCCAAGAATACAGGAGTAGGAAGCACTGTGAAATGTGGAAGCACTGTGAGCGCTGTTCAGTTCTGTAACATAACACAAATTCCTTGCTCAGGTTTTAAAAATAAACAAGATGGCAATTCTAAAGGTGGAAAAAGCCAGCAATAATTTAAACAAGTATGACAACAAACATTGGGAAGTATCTATGAGGGAATAGTTGTAGACAGCTGTTAGATTTGTACTAATTGCCAAGCTTCTTTTCCAGCTAGTTACAACCTAGTTCTGTTACTGTAGTTAAACAGAGACACACAAATAGACAAACAGAAATGTGACTGGGAAGTGGGAGTAGCAGAATTATCCTGGTACGGAGGAAAAGAAACAAAGAAAATGGCCAAGAAGCCTCATCCAAGTCAGCCAATTCTTTACAAAACAGTGTGTTATTAGTAACTGGTAGGCCTGTGCGGTTTCGTTCGTTAATTCGTTAATTCGTTAATAATTCGTTATTTTTGGCATTTCCGAAGCGATATCAAAACACATTTTCAAACCCGGAAGGGTTTAAAAATATCGAACCGGCAGCCCCCATAGATTTAACGAGCTTCCGCTCGTTTCGTTAATGGGATGGAGGCTGCTGGTGGGAGCCAATCCGGCGCTCCCAAGCAGTGCACCGTGGCTGTTTGTTTTTGATTGGCCGGCGAGCCCTTTCAAAGCGGCTCCGCGCGGCCGTAGCTCATTGCTGCATATTTTTTAATATTATTTTAATATTATTTTTTAATATTATTTTAATATTATTCTTAAAAAATATTCTAAAAAAGAATAGACTCTTCTGTTGGTGTGTGCTCTCATTTGCTGTCTCCTGCCTGTGTTTGGTCCACATTTGGGCCATTTTTTGGTTAATTTTCCATTTTAAAATATTTTTTAATATTATTTTTAATATTATTTTTTAATATTATTTTTAATATTATTCTTAAAAAATATTCTAAAAAAGAAAAGACTCTTCTGTTGGTGTGTGCTCTCATTTGCTGTATCCTGCCTGTGTTTGGTCCACATTTGGGCCATTTTTTGGTTAATTTTCCATTTTAAAATATTTTTTAATATTATTTTAATATTATTTTTAATATTATTTTAATATTATTCTTAAAAAATATTCTAAAAAAGAAAAGACTCTTCTGTTGGTGTGTGCTCTCATTTGCTGTCTCCTGCCTGTGTTTGGTCCACATTTGGGCCATTTTTTGGTTAATTTTCCATTTTAAAATATTTTTTAATATTATTTTAATATTATTCTTAAAAATACAAAAAAATTCTAAAAATTCGTTAATATTTACGAAATTTCGTAAATACCAAAACTTTTTTGGGGGAAAGTTTTGTAATTATTTTAAATATCGAAACAAAAAAACACCCCAATTACAAATCGATTTTAGAAACAAATTTTTTCTTGATCAAACAGGCCTAGTAACTGGAATTTATAATGTTCTGTACTGCTGGATTCAGCTATTATTATTGTTGAAAAATATTGAAACGGTCCATGATCTCAGGATGACCTTCACATAGCACCCTGCCTGGTAAATCAGCTTACCAGTCAGAGGAAACAAAATAGAAGGTGCCAACTCTCTTGTTACAAGTGCTCCGCGTGCTATCCATTTATTTTCAAGGACAATTCAAACTGGCACCGTATTTGGTATCTCTCCAGAAGCAGGTAAAGACATTTGTTTTGGCAGGCATTTGGGAGCCGATTATTCAGAGGAAAGGACCATAATAAGAGTTTATATTTGTTGTCTTTCTTTCTAATGCACATGCTTTTAACTGCTTTTAATTCTATTGATAATGTAATTATATTTTTAATGGCTGGAATCTTGTATCATAGCTATGAAAGTATAACAGAAGATATACAATTATGAGTGTAACATATTCACAATTCCTAGTTTCGGAACTACATAGGTACTGTGAACGCCCTCAATCTCAATTTATCAGGAAGCAGCTGCTGCATCGACGGGGGTCCATTCCAGAGAGTGTAGTAGGGAGACAGTGTAGTAGAAAAACAATAGTGAGCTAGAAGGACCAATAGTCTCTTCACCAAAGCTTGAGGTGGGGATATGACAGCTATCGAAAACCACAGCTACCTATCTGTATAGAAAGCCCAGTTCACCGGATATGCTCTTAACATGGAAATGCTGCGGTTAGCAGATTACTAGTGCACATGCACTGTAAATGGTGCAAGGGAACACTGCAATGATATTGGCAGTAAGTTAAAATAGAAACAAGAAAAGTTGTTTTACGCTAAGTCAGACCACTGACAATCTAGCCCTGCACTGTCAACTCTGACAAGACCGCAATGACTCTCCAGATCCCTGGGTCTCCCATCTTAAGTCCTAACCAAGCCTAATCCTGTTAAGCTTCTAAAAGCAGAGACCAAGTATCTTCAGGATGGTACTATTAATTCAGTAATAGTGGCCAGACATATATGAGGGCTAAACATTTTAAACAAGCTGCCTGACCCTTTTAAGCTTGATAGGTTATCTGAGAAGCCTCATTATTTTCTCTCAAAACCCAATGCGCTCACCTCCAAATTCCTTCTTCCAGTTGCAGGGGATCTTGCACTTCAGTTTCTTGGTCTCTTCATTACAAGTCCCCTCACGGAAGCCAACGCCACAGTCTTTGCTGTTGGGGACACAGGGGCCCCAGCGCCATTCCTCACAATCTGAGCCATTTTTCTTCACCTTGTCTAAAGACAAAAGTGGAAAGGGAGACAGGGAGTTATTACAAAACTTAACATATACCCCCACCCCTTCCTATAATCTTCCACAGGGCATTAAGAGCACCCCTTGCTCTCTCCTCTGACACAACCTGGAGGAATGGGGCAGATTATAGGAAGATGTTTGTTTCTGCAAGAACTGCTACATAGTGGAATAGACTGACTTGGAGAGTTCTCCATCTCTGGAGGTATTTAAACAAACGTTGGATAGACAACTTTCAGGAAAGTTCTACTTGTGTATAAATGGCTCCAACTCTATAGATCTCATCACATGGATGAGGTCCCAAGGGGCGATTTGCCACCATCTGTGGTGAATCAGCAGGGCAGCGGGGCAATCCCAGCACCCCATATTCCCCCTCGCCTGCAGCCGATGCTTCCCCATTCCATGTGGGGAAGCATTGCTGCCATGGCTTGACCTCATAGTTTTCCATGAAACATGGGAAGCCTCCCACAGGTCCCCACCAGAAGTTGCTGAAAGCATCCTAGGATGCTTAATTTGCCTCATGTGATGAGATCGTATGATTCTATGAAAAGCAGCCTGCAAGAGAGCTTCACCAGAGCTCTACTACATACCTTTTTTATTCTTGCCAGCCTCGGAAAATGCAACCAGAAGAACCAGAACCAAAAGGAGAAATAGCCCACGGACCTGCATTCTATACAAAAATAGACAAACAGAAAGGCATCACATCTCTGTATCAAGGGAGGGTGTCCCAAGAAGAGAATTTCTATTTTGAAGTTTGGGTGCCAAGGACTAATTGGGGCTGGATAATAGAATACACTGTAGCAGCATTTCTGCCTCCAGGAAGAAACAGTATCCTTACATAAAGGGTTGTGTAATTCCACCATCACATTCACTATAGCAACAGACATGTGGATTTGTGCTCAAGGATGGGAAAGGGTAAAGCAAGGATGACCCCATCGTGTTGGATCTCAAAAATAAGCAGAGTCAGTCCTAGTTAGTACTTGGATGGGTGTCTACCAAGGAATACCAGAGATGCACCAGTAGGCCTAGGAAAGAAATCCACCCTGGAACCTTGGAAAATTTGACAGTACTGTGCTAGAAAAAAACAATGATCTGATTCAGAATAAGAGATTTTTCTACATTCTCATGAGGCTTGGGATACTGTAACAAGGTAAGAAAGAACCAGGTCTTCAAGAAAATGTAGTGTTAGCAGCGCATAATGTTTTGACCCATTCCAGGCTGCAATCCTGCAAAAAATGTGTGAACTCCCTCTGCAGCTTAAAATCCGAAGTAACTACAGATGTACATCCATATGGAAGTTTCGCCCCCAAAAGCACATTTTTGATAAAGCAAGACCACAAGTCATGCTTTTGAGGAGAAGCACAATTCTTATATTGAAGAACACTTTCAGCTGTGGTGGTAGTAGGGTCCCAAAGGAGGCTGCAAAGAAAAAGAAAGAAAAGAAAACAGTGGAGATTTCTACAGAGATCTGTTGGTTCAATGTACCCCTTGACTGCCTTGCTGGTTTGAGTAAAGAGGACTGCTATCAGTCTTATAATCCAATATGAACACGACACTTCTCCAAAACTATTATGTAAGCAAACTCATGAAAATAAGGAGTCATGATGTCTCATAAATGGTAGCACATCTATTGTTGTTTATTTGTTCCGTTGCTTCCGACTCTTCATGACCTCATGGACCAGCCCACACCAGAGCTCCCTGTCAGCCATGGCCACCCCCAGCTCCTTCAGAGTCAAGCCAGTCACTTCAAGGTCCATCCAACTTACCCTTGGTCTATGCATCTATACCCTGCAATTATAATTAGCAACTTCTACAGAACGGACTTTATCACTCTTTTACTTCACAGTTTTCCAAAACTCTTTCTGAGTTCCTTCTTTTAAGCTCCCACTCCAGTTGGCAAACTGGGAATCCAGTGCACATGAAATGAAATCCACTGAATTAATTTTATCATGTCTTGAGCAAAGAGCTCTTCATTAGAGAACTGTATCTTATGAGAGCCTTTTCAACAACTTACTCAAAAGGACCTGGTAGCTTGCTGGCATCTATAACAGTGACTCATTTTGGGAAAGCCATTAAAGAAGATATAATATCCCACCGAGGAAGAGCTATGTGAAAACCACCGGGATTAGCCACAGCTAGTATCAATGTGTTCAGCCCCTGTTGGATGGTCGTTTTCCCCCCCATCTCTTTCTGTTGTGCTTCCCTTTGGGTATGTTTTGCCACTTGGCAACCTTTCACAAGGCCTCTTGCACTTCTACACAAGGCACTCCATTCCCACAGTGGCACTAGTCAATGGCTAGTCCATTCACAATGCCTCTCGGCCCACGGGCCCCAAATAAAAATGCCGCTACTTACATGCAACCTTACCCAGTGCCTTTAAGCAGTGGCAGGAAAATGAACAGAATTGAGACCTCCCTTTACAAAACAACCCCTCTGTCCCGGCCCTCTCCCCAATTTCCAATCTAGAGCAACCATGTGGAAACCAGGAAAAGCACAAAAACCTGCCAAAGGGATTTATGCTGCTGCCCCTGTCTTTGGAAAGCCAGGGAGGCTTCTGTGGAAGGCTGGCAGCAGCCAGGAGGCCCTGCGGCAGCTCCCCGCTCCCCTGAAATGCTCCCCTCATTTCCCAGTGCCTCTTTTATTCTTGCGCTCAGCAGGCTGCCTCGCCAATGCCAAAGCTCCCCGAGGTTGGGGGGAATCTCAGCTGCCATGGAACTTTTATGCAGCTCAAAAAGAATCCAGGGTGGGAAAAAGAAACCCCGACAGGCACAGTTTTGGAGAACTAAAACAGAAGATTAAAAATAAAAGCCCAACACAATTAGATCCCATGTGGAGCTTTAGAAGGCAAGCTGCTCCCCCTGCTGGCTCTCTTAATGTCAGCCTATTACCATATCCCCACAAAAGGGTCTATGGAAACAAGGCTGGGAGTAAGGGAGCTAGCTAGGCACTATGTGTGCATCTGTGTGTGCGCGCGCACCAACACACCGTACACATACCACCAGGAAAGGGAACAGCTGTAAAGAAGAAAGGAAATGTCTGCACAATTGCTTTGCTGTAGCAAGTCTGTGCCACCATGGTGAACCGAGAGATCTGAACTGCCCATGCCAAGAGTGGCAGATTATTCCACGGCCTGGGATACCATCACTTGGCCATTTCTCTTCTGAAGAAATCTTCCGTTCTTCCGAAGGGCTAGCAATAGGGAACCCTATAGCAAAAACTAGTCACCCGTATTCTATTCTCTCCCTGTCCATTGATTTTGCCCATACATAGAAACCAGCAGCTGTGCTCCCTCCCATTCGTGCAACAGGGCATGAATGCAATTTCTACTCATCCAGCAGAGCCCAGCAGCAAGGGTGACAGGTCAGGTCATCAAATGTAGAGCCAGGAAAATAACTCCCCTGGTGCTACTCGACAAAGAGTGAGCAGAAAACAAAGTTCCTATTTAGTCATACTGGATTTGCTAGAATACCCAAAGGGGTCCTATCCCATATGTGCAAGCCTTTTTGGTGGCACAATGGTGCAAGAAGACATCAGATTATGAATATGACTACACTACAAGGGGGACCCCTCTAATTCAGCATGAGAATGTGGCCACCGAATAGAGACCACATCCATTTTATCAAGCTTGTTACTGAAATTTAGAGGACATAATAGCCACAAATTTCAGCTTCAGTTCTATACATTTTAAATGGTCAAAAGGAGAAGTCAGACAGTAATTCTCAAACTCTCCTCCTCCGGGTGTCCTAGCAATCTTGTTAGGCCTTCTGAGAGTTGAACTCCAAAACATCTGGAGCACCAGTTTGAGAACTGCTGTTGTAAAGAATATTTTCCTGCTCTCTCATATGCATTTTCATTGTGAAGCATAAATTCTGCAACCTGAATATATATGATGAATGTCTCCTGCTTTTACATATTTTGCATACTTTATGTTAGTTTCACTGAAGAGGAATATATGCAAAGTATTCAAGTGCTGTTCTTTGACCAAATAAAAATCCTAATCAACAGAGATGTCATCAGTAAATCTCCACAGATATGTCCCTTTTACTTGCCTTAAATTAAAATGTAAGATTTTCAGTGGTGTGACCAGTACCAAAATGTCAATCCTGTAGGGCATATACACATAGTTTGATATATGTTGAGGAAATTTATAAATAAAGTTTCATTTTTATTGTCCTGGCGAAATTGTGGGATACCATGGTAGAATGATATGGAACCTTGAGATTTGTAGTTTGGTGAGGCACTAGATCTCTTTGGCTGAGAATTTTAAATACCAGTGCCAAAACTTCAGATCCTGGGATTCCATTGAATGGACCATGGCAATAAAGTGCCATGGTGCTATAAATGTGTGATGTTATTTACAGTCATTACAGTCATTTACAGTCCCATAGGCTATTTTACCATCCCTTCCATCTTTTTCCTTACAAAACAAAAGCAATTGAAGAATAATAATAATGTTTTAAATGTATTTTAATCTAATGTTTTATCTTTTGTATAATGCTATATGTAGTGTGTTTTGTATGTTTTCGGCATCAAATTGCTGCCATTGTAAGCCGCCCTGAGTCTCCCCTTTGGGGGTTGAGAAGGACAGGGTAGAAATGTTGGAAATAATAATATAAATAAATAAATAAATAAATAATACTGGCAAAATGTTGTTTGATTGGTAGCACTAGAAATCACCAGCCCTTGAATGCACCTAGAGGCACCTTGAATGTGAGCGAGGTAGTAACACCTCAGGTAGAGGTTAAAGCAGAGACCTGGGCATGAGGGCTAGAAACTTTAGGCGATTGCTTAATATAGATTTTTAAAAACAGTGGAAAGATGACCATCCCAGGCTCTTCTGCATAAGGTTCCTTAGTATTGATCCTGAAGGCATATAACACCTCCATTGGTATATTGGTAATATTGACATTGAATATCTACTTTTGTTTGGAAACCACCCTGAGTCCCTTTGGGGGGGAGAGGGCGGGTTAGAAATGAAGTTGTTGTTGTTATTATTATTTTACTGACACAAAAACACAGTATGTCACAACAAATGAGATACATATGCTGGATTTTGTATCACAAAATCAAAAGTCTAACACTTCCCAAGCATCTAGAACTGTGTGATGTATTTTCGAATGATGAGTGCAGATCCAAGTAAGGTGGCCTTTTGCAGTTGACAGATCGTGATTTTGTCAATGTTAATAATAATAATAATAATAATAATAAGAATAAGAATAAGAATAATAATCTGGAGAATCTAACCAGCATATGTCTCCTGTTATATGCACTTGTGAGATATTTAATCTCGTTCCCCTATGCCCCCTCAAAACAGAGGTGTTTTGGAAAAGTCAGTTTGGAAGAACAACAGACACAATGCAGTGGGTGAAAGGCCCTTTTGCTTCTGCTCCCTCCCTTGGAGCGGCTCACAGAGGAAGAACTGATTGCACTGCAGATCGGGATGAAACATGCCATGCTCAGTGTAGGGGAAAGAGATGGCCAAGAAGGCTGAGGGGAAAGAAACACTAGGTCAGCATTTCTGCCCCCTTCCCCCACCATGCCCCCCCCCCCCCCCCAGGCAGCTCATCCACAGACAGCAGCTCTTGGTTCATTATTCAGGCTCCACTGGGCTCACCTTTTGTATGTCTGTCGCTGTGAAGCTGCCGGATTCACTCTGAATTGAACTGTCAC